TTTAAAAAATCTATTAACGTTACCTTACCTGCCATTCAGTTTATGTCAATATGTATAATATATAATGCGATTATTTTTACATATATGTAGATTACATATAATGGCTACGCACAAATAAATATTGACTTTTCCCGGATTAAGTTTAACAGTCAATTAGTTCCACATTTATAAAGCTGTGCAACGGTTGGAAAAAGAGGACAAAAATCAAAATTATATTATATAATACCTAGGCATGTGCAATTCATCGAACATGGTGTATCGCCATATCGCCATCTCACCTCTTTAAGTTCTAGGTAATTGTAAATAAAAGCAGGGTATCTCTAAGTGTGGAAATAGTTTCAGAAGTTGAATTACTAGTATTGTAAGTCTCTTATATATCACATTCTACAATTTACTCTAAAACCAAATTCAATAACACAATTTTCAGTGTTACTTAATTTTATAATCAATGGATTATTATGAAATGAAGTAATGCAGGGTAAGTTTAAGTCAGGCAATTTAATTAAAATTAATTTGAAGTTTTAGAGCAAATTGAGCACGCACTAACCAAATCACTCCAAGAGGTATATATAGTTAATATAGGATATATTTAAGTCACACAACTTTTCTATCAGGTCTCTTAAGCTTAAGCTGAGTCTAAGTATACGCGGGCTATATTTAAATATGTCAATTTTTGTATTTGAATAATGACAGGGTATATTAAAGTCAGGCAACAGCAGCTGTTGCAATCTGACATGATTTTGCAGATGTTGCGTGCGGTTACAAAAACGCGACAAAACCGGAAGTTAAACGATGCCCTATATGAAAGTGCATGTTCGTGTGTATGTGTGTGTGTGTGCCGTCTGCAAGTGTGTGGGTAATGGAATGTCGAGCTCGCAACTCTGCGCTGTCTGTGTGCTCCCATTGAGTGTAATGAGTGTGAAAAGTTCATTAAAATTGCACGTGCGAAATTACATGAATATATACATATATACGTACATACATACACACAAACATGAGTATATACATATTTAAAGGCACATACACATATAAATCTGTACATGTGTAGAAGTAATTTTAAGTGCATGACTTGTCTGTTACAATCCCGATTAAGACTCTTTTCATTTCTGTTATTTTTTTTAATTCTTGCGGAGTCTTTGTATACCGTTAATGGCTGGCAGCGTCATTAGTCATTAATTTCCCATTAGCTTATGCATTATGCATTATCGCATTGCTTTCAGCTGAACAATATTAAGCATTCATGAAAAAAGAATTTTTTCAGATGCTTGAAGCTTAAGTTCTAGAACAATTATTATTATAAATAAATGCATGAATGAAAGATTTTTATTAAAGAGAGATATATTATACAAATTATAAAACCATAGAATTATAAAACACAATGGAAATGGAAGCAATACTAATAGTAAATGACCATTTTCATTATTTATTGCCTTAAGCTAATTTCCTACATTCAATTTACTTTTGACAGTTTAACTGCTTGAGACTGCAGATATATGAAACTAGGTAACAAATCTTGATTACCAATTTAGTCATATTTACATTTATTCACTTTTAAATATCGTTATAAAATCTTCTACTTCAATTGCTTAAAACTATAACAAAAACATCCGAAAAATATCATAGATTATTCATAATGAAAGCGATGCACTCTGAAGACAATCTTTTCAATTTTTTCTTTCATTATTTATAACCTTTTCAGTTGTACATGGTGTATACTCAGCTATTTGTTATTTATTTCCATGGCAATGCTTCTGACAAATTTTGATTGATTTTTCTAAGCGACTGATTTCAATTACAGACAATCCCAAACGAACTGCACAGCTAAGCCGTCCCACACATACCTACAGACTAAAATACATATATATGTATCCTCGACTGTAGCAATTATGGTAATAAATACGTTAACATCCCCAGTTAAATGTCCCGTTGTGCTGCACGTCGCATTCGCAGTAGCACAAAAAGTCACGCCGTGTTAGCTTATCGCATCCAGATTCGCATCTGTCCCTCTCCCCCACCCCTTATTGATTATCCTGGTCATCAGCCTTGGCTAAACTTGTTGCTCTCCCAAATCAACTAGGGATTTTCGGTTCACTGGACAAAATGCCAATAAAAATGTGAGAAACTCGAAAAAAAGAAGATTAAGAAACACAGAAACGAATAAAAAGAAAAAGTAGCAGATAGGTGACATCTACTAAACTGTCATTGACACTTACAAATTGAATTCTCATTGGCAGCAGGCCGGAGGCGGGGCTCTTCCTTTCCCACAATTATCGCCGCTGACAATGATAACATTCGATAGACAGTGAATAGCAGAATTTTAAAGGGAGATCTTGATAAACAATGTGGCATGTAAATAACAACAAATCAATTTTTAAATAGACAGACAGCCTAGACAGGAGCTGAGCCCGAACCCAATGTCAAGCGCCAACAACAATGAACCCTATTCAAATGCCACTTACACAATCTATAAAGGTGTCTGTGTGTGTGTGTATGTATGTATGTGTGTGTTGGGCGGTTGGGTGTGTAATTGGGAGTGCGAACTCGGAGTAGTAGACCTATTAGCTGTCAGTTAGCTAGCTCTTAAATTGAAGCCAACAGTTTGAGTCAGGTAACAAGATAGCAGATAACATGGCCAACAAATTGCTGGCAGCTCGTAATTGTCTTGCCTCCTGCATCCAATTGATTAATAGCGGTTAATGATATGCTAATTTGTTGGCACTTTGCAGGTGGACATTTGAGTCCGTGAATAAGTATATCTAGATGGAGGCCATTAGTAAAGGTAGAGACGCAGATAAGGATACTAAAAGAGATACAGATACAGATACAGATACAGATACAGATACAGATACATATACAGATATAGATACAGATACAGATACAGATACAGATACAGATACAGATACAAATACAGATACAAATACAGATACAGATACAGATACAGATACAGATACAGATACAGATACAGAGATACAGAGATACAGAGATACAGAGATACAGAGATACAGAGATACAGAGATACAGAGATACAGAGATACAGAGATACAGAGATACAGATACAGATACTTATCCATATCCACTCAAAGATATTTTCCTTTTCTAAAAAATATATCTGTCATATTTCATATGTCATTTAAATTCCTAAAAAAGTAAAGAGCTTCGACTAAAACCTGTAAGAAATAAATATAGATATCAGATGGAGGCACTGTCCGTCTCCATTGTTGGCCTACTGCAGCTGCTGGGTTACTCGTACTTTATGACACAGCCGGAGGATCAATGCTCACCAGCTCCTTGCCTGGGCAGCTGGCTCTTTCTGCTGGCCACGCTCTGCTTCCTGTGGGACCTGAGCATATATCCGCGTCGCTTTATGCACATGGCCTGGCAATGTCAGCTGATAGTCGAGATTGTGGCTGGCTTATTTCTGGCCGAGATTGCGATGCTACGCATTTGGTGCGGCCTCGAGCGAATTATCTATTGGCTGACGGAGCAGCTAATTCATGAGCTGCGAATGGACGACTGCCGGCACGAACTGCATCAGTACTGCCTGCATGGATTGACCACCGTGGCGGTGAGCGGTGCAATTGTGTGGTTTGTAATCAGAGCTACCGATGTACCCTATTATCTGGATTGCTCTATGCGCAAGATAAAGCGCAACGGGCAGCATATGATACGCATCCTTGGCTGCATTGGTCGCATGAACAGCTGCGAGAGACGACGCACTCTGAGAGCCTGTAGGCGGGCCATATTTTCAAGATACGGCGAGACTACCAGCTCCGAGGGGGAGGAAGATGGCGACGGTGATGGAGTCGAGTATGGAAATGGTATTGCCGATGAGGAGGATGGGGATGAAATTGGGGATGAGTATGAGCTTGATGATGAGGTTGGGGAGGAGGATGGGCTTGACGATGAGGTTGGGGAGGAGGATGAGCTTGACGATGAGGTTGGGGAGGAGGATGAGCTTGACGATGAAGATGGGATTGAGTACGACGATGAACATAGCGAGGGGAATGGAGATGAAGATGAATAGCGATTGAGAGCCAGCACTGACCATGGCTGCGTGTCTAACCCACTAAACAAATCATGTGCCCGCATTCGATAGCCCACATTGCTTTCCATCTATTTGGAATTTATATTGCGATTGCTGCATATCTCGACACGATTTCTGTGCCACACGCAACGGAAATTTACTTTTCCTCACTTTCGCCCCCAACAACCACCACGTTTCTATTTCTTTTTTTCGGCTATCTGTAACAATAAATTTTGTTGCACGAACAAACGGAGAAGCGGAAAATAAAGAGAATTTGCCTTTGCTGACTGTGAAGTTCTTCGACTTTCGTCCTAAATGGCTAGGCTGCCTTCAACTGTTGAATGAGAACTCCAACCCAAATGTGAGCTAATCACTGAGCTATTTAACTGTTGAATGCCAGTTATTTATAGACACGGTGCACAGGAGGAAACTGTCTTCGCAACGGCACGTAGAGGCCTATGTATCCTTAGCGATTGTGGTCATTGTTGGTTGACAGTTTCTATGGTCTGCTGTTGTGCAACGTGTCAGTTCAATTGTATGTCACTCCTATAGGACTACTAATTGCTTAATACATATACTTTACAATTGTAGCAGACGAAGCTATAACACATCGAATGGCATATAAATACGATATCGATTGCGGATAATTTCTTTCTTAATTAGCATCTAATTGCTACTTATTGTTCAAAAAACCTATTTCTTCCCACTTTCCATTAGTTTCATTTCCCTTTTCATATATTTAGTACTGACTATTTTCTTTATAATATATATATTTTGAATCGAGTTTTCTTTACCTCTACGAAACTTGTTCCTCTAGATAATAATTTAGTTGAACAGACCGTCTGTCATAGGGTTAGCCAACATGAAAGCCAGCTGCAGTTGGGGTTGTTTTTATTGCTATTGTGGTTTTTGTTGCCACTGTAACTTTCAATCATCGTCAATCATCGTTAGATGGGCAAAAAATGCGAATGAAAACAATCGCAAAACAAGTATAAACAAAAACAACGAGAAACAAAAAGTAGAAAAGCGAATCATTCACGGATTGTATTGCATTTCTAAGCAGGCCAGGGACACAAACAGGTCACAGCTGCTAACTTTGATTACTCGACTGGCAAAAAAAAAAAACAAAAAACAAAAAAATGAGAAAATATCATTTGATTGGCTTAGCCAAGAGATCTGAGACGTCAAAGTACAAATGATTGTATAAGGATTTATTAAGTCGAATATAATATAACGAATATGTAGATATTTATATGCCGAAATCAATTTGGCACAGCTTTTATTGGCGTAACTTAGCAAATAATTTTGATTGGCATTCAGGATTTTCTTTTTCAAGAAAACATTTTCTTCAAACCTTAAAAAATATTTGTGTTTATGTTTTTTATTTAATTTAAATTTATTTTATTCTTAGACATTGTCTAGCCAAAGCTGATTTGTTAACAGAATTTCTACTTATTTTCGCGCATACCCAAAATATTGGCCATGAAATTCTGAGCGACCGAGCTTGGAGATATTTCGGTAAACATATGCGAATGGGGCTCAAAGTGAATTATGCTCTATAATTTGTCGGCAGGCAGGCGCTGCTCATTAATCTTGTGCTTGCTTTAGAGCTGCCTCTCTCGGCGCTTCTCAACCCCCGCTTAGTTTAGCACACTCTAGGGGCACACCGACACACACACACACACACACACACTCGTACACATAGGCACTCGCTTATGCACAAGCATTTTACGTAGATAAGCTTCTCACTTTTCGTTTTAGCTTTTTTTTCTTGCTTGTCCTACCTGCCTGGCGGTTTTATGCCTAATGGATTTGCGCTTTGATGTGCAAACGGTTTAGACCGTATTACGTCTACGTGTATGTGTGAGTGTGCGTGCGCGTGTGTGGGGTTGAGTGACGTTGCGTTTGTGTGCGTGTGTATTTAAGTGTCGACATTAGAGACCATCACTTGCAGTCCTCAGTGCTATTTTTTCCTTATCACTCTCACTCACTCACTCACTCGATCTCTCTCTCTGTTTCTCTTTGGTGTAGCTATGCGGCGCACATAAATTTGTTTCGGAATGGCCATATAAGGGCTATGTGGCCATAATTTTAAGCCTCAGCTGATACGTTGTTAATAGCTAAATGGTGGCTGCTGCGTTTGCTTTTAAAATTAACAAGAAATAGGAGCTATAGATATGCGCCAAGATTAGATACCCTTTAAATGCATAAATTAAAGCATAGATTTAATCCCTTTTTGATTTCAGAGTTTCGAGGACAAAATTGGGTAAAAACGTTCTTATTTTATAAGATTTTTCCTGTATAATTTCACAGTATTAGTTTGTAAATTATTACTAGATTTATAGCTTCTAGCTCTACAATAATCTTCCTCGTTTACTCATGTCATTCTTTCAATTTGAAGCCATATCTATCTTGCGGTATATATTTAGTTTATTATTTTTATTATTTTACTATGCTTATTATCAATTATATTTTTTTCCACGAGGTTCTAAATGATTTTGCTTCTAAATATAGTATTCAAATTATTAGCATTGTTTGCATTTACTTCTAACTGTACCATAAAAATGTACCATTAGTTTACCATCAGCTATACCACCACCATATGAGTCTTACCTTTGGCATACAATTTTAAATTAATTTTAAGATTATTTAATTATTATTTAAGATTATTTGCATTCATTAGCGTTTAAATATTAATCTTACCTTCAATATAGGATTTAAAATTTATTTTATTACCCTTGGGAACTAATTTAACATTACTATTATTTTCCAGATTATCATTAGTATTCACGATAAACTTACCATTAACCTTACCATTTAGTTAACTCTTAACCATACTTTCCTGCTATCCTTATTACATTGAAATTAATTTATCCTTTAGTATTCAATATTCCTGAGTTTGCCAGTAAAATGAAGTTGATGATAAACTTTTAAGATAAATGTTAAAGCTGTGTTAATTGCAAAATTCATCGTAAGTTAAGATTAATACTCACAATGAACTTTAGGATTAATATAACCATTAGCTTTGGTCATCAAATTGAATCTCTAACCTTAAATCTATCTATCTATCTGTCTTCACCTTCAATTTAATCTTTCATCTTCATCTAGAGATAACTATTCAACTCAATCTTAGATTTCGCTATATTTCAACTTATATTTTAAATCTTGATTTAAGCAACCCACAACTTAATGAATATATATTAAAAAGGCATACATGTTGTGCCAGGAGGGTATTGACACGTTGTTGTTTAGCCATTGCCTTCATGCGCTGGAAAAAAGAGAACCATGGAATTACTTTATTCCCTCGTGAAAAAAATTACCATATGTATGGATGTACGTGTATTATATTTGTGTGTGTGTGTTGGGTAGACTGTTGATGAAATTTCGCTGTCATCCTTGACATTGCATATATATTCAAAGAAATTGTATTTTTTATTTTTAAAATTGGAAATTTTTTGTTGTTGCACATACACCACAAATTTTTGTTTGTTCTTGTTTTTGTAATTTGTTTAAATGTAAATTGTGTTACTGTTAACATTTAAAAATTTGCTCAAATTGTTGGGCGCTTTTGTAAACATGTTATATATACATATATATAGTTGTATACACATATATGTATCTATTCATATTTTTTATTAAATTTTCGTTTTTGGCATTTTGTGTTATGGAAATACAGTTTCATCTTATCCTTGTGCAATCAATTAATGCAAATTTCCGTGTTTAAATATTCGATTTTTTTTTTTAGATATTTTACAAACAGTTTTTAATTTAAATTTAGTTATTTATTTACCTGAAAAGAGCAGGTGACATTTTTTTCTTTAATATTTGTAATTATAGAAATCGTTGAACTGTATTTCCGTTTGCCAATATTCGCATAGTTTGTCCATGTTTTAGATTTAATCAAATTAAATTTTTGCTATGCAATAACGTAAGTAATTTCTTTTTAGGCTTTTTTATCATAACTTTTAATACAATGTACATTAACAAAATTTTAATTAAATCTGTTGAATTATGTATATTTTTTTTGTAATTCATTACAATTCTGTAATATGTGAACTTCATGGAAATTTGTTTAAATTTGCTTAAATTAGCAAATTGTTTTGGGTTACATAGAACAAACTATCACTGCGGCTGTTGAGAAGGCTTTAAACGATATATTGAAACATCTGTGTAAACTATTCAAACCACTCAATAATTAATAAAAACAATTATTTGTATTATAGTATGACTATCTTTTTTTTAATTTCTTTTTGTTTTTAAAATGGATTTCTTTTAATGTAGTAGTAAGTAAATATTATAATTTACTTTATTTACTGTAAACGAGTTGCTTGAGCCTGTCTAATTATTTATTTACTTAGCTACTTACTATATTTCCTATGATGCATCATTTGAATTCAGTTTACATTCAACTAACTTTCCTCTGCTCTATTTACTATATTTTTTTAGGTGTTTTGTTTTCTTTCCATATCAAATGTGTTTGAAAATCCTTGAATTTTCATTTTGTTTTTAATTTCACATCAAAAAACTATAAGTATTGGACCAAAAATTACGTTTGAACCTCAGATAAGTTTGAATGGACATGCGCTATATAAGTTCTGTTCTGTTCTTGATACCTTGCCCTAAAAACTAAACGAATATTTACAAAAACTTTCATTTTCTTTTGACACTTTCGATTTTACATTTAGATAAACCACATAAATTGAGTAAAATATTAAATGGTCAAAAACTGTTGACCAAAGATATATGATTTTCTGTTACATATATATAATAAATACATCTATATGTTTGTATAGGATCTGCAGCCATGTCGTTGTCTGCACAAAAGCAAAGAAATGCAAAGGGAATAAAAAAGTGGCATGAAATTAAGTTTGGCGCCATTATACTTTTAGCCATGGTCGCCATTGTGTCGACATTATTGTTTATACCCTGTAAGTAGTCTTGGAAACAAAGGAGACTATGTGTGAAACCAATTAGAGATGTTGCTTACCTTTCTCTAAAAGAATACACTTGAAAAAGGTGAATATGAAAACTGAATTCAACGATAATGAGAAGAATAATAAAAATAAGAATAAATATTTAATAATAATTATTAT